CGAACTTCTGGTCTTGCCTTATTATCAGAATGCTGGAGGAACAGGTAAAAAAAGGTGCTTACAAAAGAAATATCTAGCGGATTTTCCTGTATTCTGTCATAGGCAAGAATTTAATAATAGTTCAACAAATATTTATTAAGCACGTACAGAATGATAATAGCTGGCATATTTACAGCGCATCTAGGTTTGCAAAGTACTTTACCTGTGTTATCACATTTGAGTCACCCAACAGCCCTGGTAGGTAGTGCCATTATTATCCCCATTTTACAGATATGGGGAGAGTTAAGTGACTTGCCCTGGTTCACACAGCTAGTAAGTGATTTTCATTCTAGGCCTCCAGCACTCTCGATCCATTGGTGCACTCTGTATAAGGTGCTGTGTTAATCCCAGAATGTAAATATAAAAATAAAAATCGTCACTGCTCTCAAGAGGTGTTTATTCTGTGATCTGTACCTGGGCCTCCATCTCCTTTCTTCTCCCTCTCTTCAAAAGCCCCTTCAGTCTAGTTTCTAACCCCCATCATTCAACTAAGACAGCTGTCTTCAGAGTGACTGGTGATTTCTCACATTGCCAAATCCAGCAGCCTTTTCTCAGTCCTCATCCTACTTGACTTCTCAGAAGCATTGCCCCTCTCAGTGACCCTTCTGTCCTGGATTCTCTTGCCTCTCTGGGTTTTATGGCCCTGTCCTCTCTTGGTTCTCCTCCCGCTGCCTGTCCGTCCCTCTCCTCATTCTCTTTTCTTGTATCTTCATCCTTGGCATGCCTTTTTTTTTTTTGGAGGGGGCTTTTAGGCAATTGGGGTTAAGTGACTTGCCCAGGGTCACACAGCTAGTAAGTGTCAAGTGTTTGGTCTGAGGCCGGATTTGAACTCAGGTCCTCCTGACTTCAGGGCTGGTGCTCTATCCACTGCACCACCTGCCCCTTGGCATGCCTCTTAACTTTGAGGTCTCTGTCCTGGTTTATTTTTTTCCTCTTTTCTCTCTACACTATTTCCCTTGGTAACCATTTTGAACTTCGATGGATTCAGTTGTCTGTGCATATGATTCATAGTTGTATGTCTATGTAGATTTAATAGTTTATCATCTATATCTACCCCGTCTATATAGATATATATGTACATGTATATGTGTGTGTATATAATATGTATATTTTATATTTTTTTATATATATACACACACACACACACACACACACACACACATACATAAGGAGGGAAAGAGAGAGATCCTTAATCTTTCTCCAGATCTCCAGTCCTTCATCACTAACAGCATATTGAGCATCTCAGACTCAGCGTCAAATCCTTATCTCGGATTCAACAAGTCCAAAGCAGAATTCGTTGTCTTCTCCCCCAGTCCTTCCCTCTTCTGAATTCTTCACTAGTCTTCTTGAGGGCACCACCGTCCTCCTAGTCACCAAGTTCAGAGCATCCGCATCCCACAGCTCTCTCTGGTTCTCTCCTGTCTGACCAGTGCCAAGTCTTGTTTCTTTCCCCCCCACTGTATCACTCCTGTGTGTTCCCTTCACTCCACCACCCTAATTCAGGCTTTCATTGCCTTTTATCTGGACTATGGCAGTCATTTCTAAATTGCTCTTCCTATCTCAAGTCTTTCTGAGCCCCAGTCTGTCCTCTTTAACTGAGGCCTGACCATGTCATCACTACCACCTCCTGCCACTTAGTAAACTGTAGACATTCCTTCTTACCTCCAGGATTGAATACAACATGTCACCCGGCTATTAAACCTTCCAACTGCACAAAGACTTTTGGGACACCTTGTATGAAGCACCCTGCTTAGCATTTAAAGCTCTTTCCCACCTGACCCTTTCTTATCTTTCCAGTTGTCTTATACCTTACTCCCCTCCTAGCACTTTATTCTATGGTCCAGCAATATTGGCCTGCTTGCCATTCTCTCATGGGATACTACATCTCCCATCTCCCTTAGCTTAACACAGTGCATATAGGAGGCACTTGGTAAATGTTTATTGACTGACTGACTGGCAGACCTATATTCTAGTGCCTTGCCCTTGAGATTACTTTAATGCTACTCTGTAGTATTTCACTTCTACCTGTTTATTCACTCGCACTTAGCACAATGCCTGGCATATAGTAAGCATTTAATAAGTGCTTATTGATTGATTCATTGGATGTCCCAACAGAGGTTTGATTTCTTTTTAACTGTTTTATTAATTTCCCTTTTTTATGTCACTGTTACTTCGCAGTGACTCTCTTCCCTCTACCAACAATACCTCCTCCCCGCCCTTAACAAATAATTACAATCAAGCAAATCATCTCAACTCTTTAACCATGTCTGAAAATGTTTGCTCTTTTCCATACCTCTAGTGTGTCACCTCTTCTGGTTAGCTGGAGGACCAGTTTCCCAGTCCTTCTAAGACATTATATGTCATCACTGCATTGATCAGAATTCTTAACTCTTTATCCTGGATTTTTCATGTAATTTTTCCCCCCTTGCTTTTATCTGATTACAACCTTGTTCAGAGTGTGTATATGCGCACATGTGAGTGTGTGTGTGTGTGTCTAGTAAGTATACATTTATAATTTTATATATATACATATATATATATATATATATACATGAGAATTATATGTGTGTGCATATATGTGAGAAAGGTATATAAGAGTTGTGTGTATGTATGTGAGAATTGATTAAAGGATGTGGGGAGAAGAAGAAAAGTGTGTGTATGTGTATGTATATATATGTACACAATAACAATTATATATAATTATGTGATAATAAAAATGTATGTGATCTATGTTGTGTATACTATATGTATATTTATACACATAGGTATAAGATATGTACACCCATACAAAATGTGGCAATAATCAGACAACAGGTTTTAAGCCTGGGCAATACATGTTGGTAGATGTTTAAAGATGAATAAACAAATACTTCTTGAGTGCCTCATACAAGGTCCCATACTGATAGTTCCTGGTGCTAAGTAAGACATGGTCCTGGCCCTGAATGGATTTATATGCTGGAGGGTGTAGGTACTACCTTTCAGAACCTTAGGCATTCACCATGTTGTTTTTGTTTTGAACGGCCCAGTTAGTTTTAAATAACCCTGCTAGTTTCATTCTAATTCATACTAATGCTTTTTGAAATAAAGGACACCAAATACAAATATAGCAGCTAAACTGGAACCTCAGAACTTCCTACGAAAGCAGGATGTGGTGACCATATGATTTGAACAGAGAAGTTGAAACTTCCAAATTACAAGTAAAGAAACACTTGGTTTAAGTATATTGTTATTAGGGAAGTAGGTTTGGATTCCATTTGTATTCCTTGCCATCTTAAACATTTGTTTCTTCATGAAAGGATTAAAGCATAATGATTTGAGTGCTGTAAATAATTGCTGCTGTAAATAAGTCCGGAGTTTATGTCTGCCAGCTGGTGATGAATGGTGACCCTTTGGGTAGTCTGGTGATAGACCAGGGTAGAAATACTCCACAGATAGCAGCCTGGTAAAAAAAAAAAATTGAAGACAAGATAAACAATGAAACAGGATAATTATGCTATAGCCACCACATTGACTCTGTTAAGTAGTCTGTGGGTGTTCTGAGAAAAGGCCAGCAATTATTAAGGTAATTAAATTTGGAGTTGTTACATTGGTATTGTAATGTTCAGTGATAATAAGCCAGATGCAGATGTTTGTAGATTTTAAACTATCTTTTGTGCAGCATCAGGAAGAACTTTAATAGCAGCAAGAAATCACAACCCAGAGCTTCTTTGCCTAGCATCTGTAAGCTTGTCTTTTTAAAAATATTTTTATAACTACATTTTGACGTAATTAGCTTCCTTTGTAATCTGCCGTATTTTATTTTTTGCATTTAAAAAAATTTATTGTGAGGAGGGGTCCATGACACAGAATAAGTTAAAGGTCTCTGCCCTTATGCAGTCTTCCCAGTAACTCTTGGCCCACATATCTGTGGGAGACTAATGATCTGGCTCAAGTAAGCCACTTTTTGGGCTTTGCAACTTAGTGAACACTTAGCATTGAGTTTGATTATATGGAGGAATAAGTACCATCAGGCACCTTGACGTGGCTCTGTGCGTTCCCTAGGTTCTAACGTCCCATTCTTCTAAATCTCGTAAACCTAAGAAGATATTGGGAGGGGGAGGGTTGCATGTGAGAGGGGACTTGGTGGCCTGCCTGATACCTAGGAAATCATGCTATGGTGGAAACTATCCACCCTTCCTACTGATAATGATGCTGATAGCTGACACGTACATAGCATTATCTCATTTGGTAAAGCTTACTGCAGAAGCATACTTGTAATAAGTCTTGACCCTGCTATGAGGAGCTGACCAGTGTGAAGCCTTTCAGATAGACAGACAGACAGATAGACAGACAGACAGACAGACAGACTAGATAGACAGCAGGACAGCAGATAGGGTAGAGAGAGGAACATATACATACACATATACTACCTATTTAGTATTTATCCAATCCTGCCTTATAGTATTAGTTATCTTCTTGTGTGTAGATATGTGTGCCCAAGTAGGATCATAGTATTATAGATTTAGAGCCAGCAAGAGACCTCAGAGCTCATCTAGACCAGTGCTGGTATTTTACAGATAAGGAAAGTGAAAAATTCCCAAAGACAGAGAAGTGTCCCATATCCCACTGTACTTAGTAAATAGAAGATGCTCAGGCAATACTCAGGTTAACAAATACCTCCTTACTCGTTTCCTCCTGCTATCCCTCCTACTTCCATTCTTTAGTTTCCTTTTCCCTTGAGAGGCAAAGAAAGGAAGCCAAAGAAAGAGCTAAAATAGCTTCACTCTGTTTCTTCTCCTCTGTTTCCAGGCACATCCCTTGGGCTCTCGTGCATTCATCCCTCAGTTTCTACTTAGCTTATATTGGCTAACGGGATAGATGCCAAAAGTGGTTGACCAGTGTGAAGTTCTTTTAAAAAGAGAAAAATGAATGAGTTGTTTGCCTCCTTGTAGTAATGGGTTGTTTGTTTTTGTTTTCTCCAGGAATGTTCACCCTTGCAGAAGTTGCCTCTCTCAATGACATCCAGCCTACTTACCGTATCCTGAAACCATGGTGGGATGTATTTATGGATTATCTGGCTGTTGTTATGTTGATGGTCGCCATCTTTGCCGGAACCATGCAGCTTACCAAAGATCAGGTGGTCTGCCTTCCAGTGTTGCCATCCTCAGTAAATTCAAAAGCACACCTCGTGTCAGGAAATGCTGATGTGACCACTGATGTCCCGAAGTTTGAAGTCTCCACAGAGCAAGACCAAGGCCGGGGAACAACCAGACCCACATCCTTTGATGAGGCAGTTGCAGTAACCCCTGGCTCACCTCTCATCAGGGCTGGCTCTCCTCACACAGATTCCCCTGTCCCAAATCAGGAGGTGAGAAAGGAGATCAGAGACCCTACAGGTCGGAAAACTAACTTGGATTTCCAACAATACGTATTTATTAACCAGATGTGTTACCATGTTGCTCTTCCATGGTATTCCAAGTATTTTCCCTACCTTGCTCTAATACATACTATTATTCTCATGGTCAGTAGCAACTTTTGGTTCAAATATCCCAAAACGTGCTCAAAAGTGGAACATTTTGTTTCTATATTAGGAAAGTGCTTTGAATCTCCTTGGACTACAAAAGCACTGTCTGAAACAGCGTGTGAAGATTCAGAGGAGAACAAGCAGAGAATTACTGGGGCCCAGTCTCTACCGAAACATGTGTCCACCAGCAGCGATGAAGGGAGCCCCAGTGCAAGTACCCCCATGATCAGCAAAACTGGCTTCAAGTTTTCAGCTGAGAAGCCTGTCATCGAGGTCCCTAGCATGACTATTCTAGATAAAAAAGACGGAGAACAGGCCAAAGCCCTGTTTGAGAAGGTGAGGAAGTTCCGCGCCCACGTGGAAGACAGCGACCTGATTTATAAACTGTACGTAGTCCAGACTGTTATCAAGACAGCCAAGTTCATTTTCATTCTGTGTTACACTGCTAACTTTGTCAATGCCATCAGCTTTGAGCACACCTGCAAGCCCAAAGTGGAGCACCTGACTGGCTATGAGGAGTTTGAGTGCACTCACAACATGGCGTATATGTTGAAAAAGCTGCTCATCAGTTACATCTCCATTATTTGCGTCTATGGTTTTATCTGTCTCTACACCCTCTTCTGGTTGTTTCGGATACCTTTGAAAGAGTATTCCTTTGAAAAGGTGAGGGAAGAGAGCAGTTTCAGTGATATTCCGGACGTCAAGAATGACTTTGCCTTTCTTCTACATATGGTCGACCAGTATGACCAACTGTACTCCAAGCGTTTTGGTGTCTTCTTGTCCGAAGTCAGTGAAAATAAGCTTAGGGAAATTAGCTTAAATCACGAGTGGACCTTTGAAAAACTCCGGCAGCACGTGTCTCGCAATGCCCAAGACAAGCAAGAATTGCACCTCTTTATGCTCTCGGGGGTCCCCGACGCTGTGTTTGACCTCACAGACCTTGATGTGCTCAAGCTGGAACTCATCCCGGAAGCCAAGATCCCAGCTAAGATTTCCCAGATGACGAACCTGCAAGAGCTTCACCTCTGCCACTGCCCCGCCAAGGTGGAACAGACGGCTTTTAGCTTCCTCCGAGACCACTTGAGATGCCTTCATGTCAAATTCACCGATGTGGCTGAGATCCCGGCCTGGGTGTACTTGCTGAAGAACCTTCGGGAGTTGTACTTGGTGGGCAACTTAAACTCGGAGAACAATAAGATGATAGGGCTGGAGTCTCTGCGGGAGCTGAGGCACCTTAAAATCCTCCACGTGAAGAGCAATTTGACCAAAGTTCCATCCAATATCACCGACGTAGCCCCGCATCTCACCAAGTTAGTCATTCACAATGACGGCACTAAGCTTGTGGTACTCAACAGCCTTAAGAAAATGATGAATGTAGCCGAGCTGGAACTGCAGAACTGTGAGCTGGAGAGGATCCCTCATGCCATTTTCAGCCTCTCCAATTTGCAGGAGCTGGATCTGAAGTCCAACAACATACGCACAATTGAGGAAATCATCAGTTTCCAGCATTTGAAAAGACTGACTTGCTTGAAACTGTGGCATAACAAAATTGTGAACATTCCCCCCTCCATTACCCACGTCAAGAATCTGGAGTCACTTTATTTCTCCAACAACAAGCTTGAGTCCTTGCCCGGGGCAGTGTTCAGTTTACAGAAACTCCGATGCTTAGACGTGAGCTACAACAACATTTCAGTGATCCCCATAGAAATAGGGTCACTCCAGAACCTGCAGCATTTGCATCTCACCGGGAACAAAGTGGACGTTCTGCCCAAACAGTTGTTTAAATGCGTTAAATTGAGGACTTTGAGTCTGGGGCAAAACTGTATCACCTCAATCCCAGAAAAAATTGGTCAGTTATCACAGCTCACTCAGTTGGAACTGAAGGGAAATTGCTTAGACCGCCTGCCAGCCCAACTAAGTCAGTGTCGACTCCTCAAGAAGAGTGGGCTTGTGGTGGAAGATCACCTCTTTGACACGTTGCCAACAGAGGTCAAGGAAGCATTGAACCAAGACACAAATACCCCTTTCGCAAACGGGATCTGAGTGGAGATCGCACATACCCACACCCATGGGTGGGAGAGACTTTCTAGGTTGCAAATGCTTGTATATGAGTTATTGCAAGAGGATGCATTAGGAGGAGAGACACCTCTAAAGGAGAGAGAGTGAGCAAGAGAGTGCGAGAATGAGAATGAGTAGAAGAAGCCTGATAGGAGGCATAACCGAGTGTTCCGTGTTCATAGTGTTTCAAGACAACATTTCCAAATCTTTTTTTCTGCTTCTTCTTCTTTTTTTTTTTTTGGTGGGAAGGACAAATTATAATCACTAATCTCGATTTCTTTTTAAATTGTAACTTGGATGCTGCCGCTGTTGAATGTTTACAAATTGCTTGCCTGCTAAAGTAAATGATTAAATCCACATTTTCTTACTATACAACCCTCTCCCTAGGTGTCTGTATTTATTGGAGGCCTGACCATTAGACCAATACTTGGATTAACTAAAGCCCCTAAAAGCCCATGCATGAGAGGTAGTTCTGCTACTATGGCTTTCCTTTTATGCTTCAGTTTAAAAGGATCAAATTCTATTCCATATCAAATGTACGCATCTAATACATATTTGACTCAGGGTATTGCCAGAGCTTGGTTTTATAGCTCTCATTTTTCTGGAGACTATAATATGTAGAAAAGAGACCAGGCTCTGGGGCTACCCCTGTGATTTCATTGGTACAGGAAATTCTCAGGTGAGGAACCCCTCCACCACTTTCTCTGTAACTCATACAGTTTAAAAGACTTGCCTAGTCAACCAGGAGGTTAAGTGACTTGCCTAGGGTCACAAGTCAGTATATGTCAAGGGCAGGACTTGAATCCACTTCTTCCTTTGAAACCAGCTCTCTAAGCACTATCACATGCTGCTCTGATTGGATGTGACTTTTAAAAAAATAAAAGTTTTTTTGAAATACACATCCTCTCTGTAGCAGCTACTTCTTTTATTGTATTTTTTCTATTAACTAAAATCTGCCCCCCTCCCTCTCTCTCTCCTACCTCCCCTCGCCCAATTAAAAAAGAAAGAAAAGCAAAGCCTTGTAACAAACACATATAGTAAATCAAAGCAAATTCCTACATTGGTCACATCCAAGATTATGTTTGGCTTATTCTGCCCTCTGTGGCCCCTCACTTCTCAGGAGGTGGGTAGCATGTTTCATCATGAGTCCTGTGCAGTCATGGTTGGTTATTAGTGGGTACTTTTACAAAGCCGTTGACAGCCTTTAACAGCTTCTCCTCCCATCAATATCTTATGGGTTTACCATTAATTGGAAAGTGTGCATCCTTCAGAAATGAAAATTAATTTGTCCATAACCTCACCAAAATAAAGAATTGTGCAGTTGATCCCACACAGTACATTTGGCTCAAAGTAAATTAAAATACTCTATGATAGCAACAAGTGAAAAAATTAAATAGGACTTTAATTCAGTCTGCTTTTGAAAATGTTAGCCTTTCCTATACAGTTTAGTGACAAGCTGTATTTCCTGTGTTTGACCATGTCTGAGTAAGGTCACATCTAGGGAAATACCAGCCACATTCACCTCTCAGGGCGTACTACGGTCACTCTCTTCAAATGTCCGGTAATGGCTTATAAGATCACTGCCAAATATTTTTAAGTCTCTCTAAACCCAGTGGGCCATTATTTAGCCAGGTGACTTCCAAGGTCCTCTCCAGTAAACAAAATATTCATTTGAAAGATAATTCAAAACTGGTGGACGGCCATCTTCAGTCCATTGGAGTATAATCATTTTCATATTTTGGCAGATGTTTACTCAGCTAAATACATATTACGACTCCAGCTTTCCCTTAGCACTTAGACTTTGCCCTTCATTTCATTTCATTGTGTTTTGTTGTCGAAGAATGTAATACTCCTTTTCTCATGTCCTGATTTGTCATATGGCCCTGTTGGCCTTTCAACATTTTTATATTTGTAATAAGATAAGGCTTTTTGCTGTTTCCTTTTTAGATTGTCTAATGTGCTTTTGGTTGATTTTTTTTTTCACCTTCAGAATTAAAGCCAGTTTGCTTTATTATTCCTGGATGATCAGTTGACTCTTTACCCATAAGCTGTGTTCCAAAACAGCATTTTATATTTGTTTTTCTCTGTATATGTCTTCTGCCCCAGAGAATCCCAAGACCCAGCTTCTTTTAAAAACAGAATTCATCTAACAGTGAAGTAAAAGCATGAATATTTGGCACTTAAAATAATTCCACAATGCCAGAGCTTTGCTTTCACCAAGAATTTTAGACTTCTCTCTCTCACCACTGCCTTTTCCTTTTATCCCCACCCACGGACCCATATCCCATTACCTGCCCGTCCTTTGGCAGAGAGGCAGGCAGTTCAGTGTCCAAAGGTTGACAGCAAAACTAAGGTCCTAGTCAGTCTCTGAGTAATAGCATTGATTCAAATACAGAGTTTTACCCTTGACTAAAGCAGTACTAATGTCTCCTTTGGCCTCAGTGAGTAAAAAAGAACAACCATTATCCTTTAGGATATGAGTGAGCACCACAAAGAATATTTTGCTCTAGATGCTAAAGGATTATTTGGATGAAGATCTGTCTTTAAGCTAGCCAGATTTTAAGGGTTAATGAAGGATCGGACAATGTCTTCATAACTTCTTGCCACCATGTGCAAAACTGCAGAAAGAAAGGAATAAAACTAAATTCATATCTTTGCCTGTGCCTGGTAAGAACTGTGGCCATCCATCATAACAATGGGGTCTATCCAGAGATGGGTCCCAAAAGAATGAACCTTTGCCCGATTCATTAGCTTCCACCTTCAGGTCGTGACCTACATTAGCTTCCTTAGGTTTTACCAAAAGAAAGGGTTGAAAAGACTTCATGAGAAAAGATGTGTGTTCCAATGTCCAAGTCAGACATTCTCCACCCAGCCAGCCAGCCCTTAAGGGAACCAGGAGCCTTTGAGGGTAGGGAGAGGTCAAGCTGTTTCAGGACCAGCCCCTTACCGAGATTTAACACCTGCAACATGCATCTGCTGATCACAGGAGTTTATCACTTCTATCTTTGCTTGTTGGCTTAGGAGAACAAGATGCTGAGGGGACACTAAGAGTATCTGAGTTGCACCAACCATGCCGCTGAAAAGTTAAGGGCTAATTTTGTATTGTGATCGCTGTTGTTACATGTGAATCTCATCATTTTGTTGTTGTTTTTTAAAAGGACTCTGTTTTCATGTCCTTTGAGGCCTGTGGATTGCAAAACCTCATTATTCTGGTTTAGAGGAGCACTGAGCAAAGGCTGAATGCTCCATGAGGACAAAGATTGTGTCTTACTTCTCTTTCTGTCTTTAGTACCTAGCACCATCTCTGTACTTGATAAATACAAGCTTCCCAGAACCAGCATTCCAGCAAGCAACATCTTAGCACAACAACATCAGTAATAAATTATAACCAAACCAACATGGTACAACGGAGCACTGACTCAGTAGCCCGGCGACCTCCCCTCCTTTAGGTTGACTTCCTGTGCACCTTTAGGCAAGTCACTGAAACTGGGCCTCAGTTTCCCCAAATATAGAATAAGGACTTTGGACTTGGTGGCCTCGGAAGTTCCTTTGTGCCTCCAGATCTTTGAGCCCACCATGATGTTGCAAAACCTTGCTATAAACATGTTCCTATCTCTCATTCATGACATTGTTCTTATGGAACTGGCAACTTTCTGTAATTTTTTGCCTAAGGTGTTCTTGTGAAACTAGTGAACAAAGTTGGGTGGCATTAAGTTTGCTTACATTTATTAGCTGTCTGGAGGTCAGTAGCTTTTACATAGCCCAAGGATTCTTAACCTAGGGTCTTTGCAATTTATTGTTTTTTTTGACAACTCTGTTTCAATATAATTGTCTTCCTTTGTAATGCTGTGTATTCTGTTTTACACATTCACTTAAAATGTTATTCTGAGAAAGGGTCCATAGACTTCTCCTGATGGCTTTAGCCCAGTAGTGGATCCTCATACCTGTGGCATGGAGAAGCTCTAGGTGACCAACTAGTTTGCTTGGTGGATAAAATGTGGAACTTCCTGCTTCCCAGCCTTCCCTTGGAGGGATTATTCTGATTTCATCTGATATAGTGACAGATGACAAAGTTTTTGGTAATAGGTACTGTCACCCAAGCCTCATTCCACTCTTCTCTCCGTGCTCCATATGTACTCTATACCAGTATCTATTGATAGATAACTCGAGAGATGGACGGGGAGCTATAGCTGTGGAGCTTCTATAGCCTTCCGCCATCCATTTCCCTTGATCCCTTGGACCATATGCTATGCTGACATCTCACGTGCCTTAACCTGCCCTCCTACATTGTTAGCAGTGTTTGATATATTGGGGATGTTTTTTCAAGTTGGTTAAAATACCAAAGCGTCCCTTAACCATTCACCATGTCCGTGAATGTTGAGTCATTCTAACTGGAGCTCACAATAATCGCTGTTTGGGATTAGAAGTCTCTATAGCAGCAGAACTCCCAAAATTAATGGGAGGAAATAGGGTGGGTGTGGAGAATAACATTAATACCTGTTCTTCGATGTTAGAATCACCCTTCAGCAGTGTCTATTTTTTAATCAACACTTTGGGCTTAAAACGAATGGGCATTAGCTGTCTCCATGCAATAGAAACTAGCAGTATACCTGGACTGCAGAATTTCTATTAGCTTAATGGAATAAACTATTAAAATGATTTCTTTGAACTCTGCCATTTTTACAGTTACTTAGTTTGAATGCCGCATTCCTGACCAGCATTGCAGATGGCCAATGACTCTCAATCATGATATTAAAGTAACCTAGCAAATGAAAATAGAGAATTAGAGAAATTTTAGTGTGGAATAGGAGCATTATGCCTATTTTCATAGTGCTGCATGTAATCAGTCTTTTTGATGATGCATACACAATTTCAAGGAAGGGGAGGGAAGGGTAGCAACACTGATGCTTTCTTCTGGCACTCCGGTGACGTCCCATGGGGCAGCAGCATGACCAGAGATGCGTTTGGGAAGCTGTCCTGAACTGGCACTGGCCGGAGGTAGCTCACCTACTTCTTAGAGGGCTTCATTGATAATACAGGTTGTCCACTGCTGAAGATCCGGGTGCTGGGTGAGCTTGCCTCCCAGTCTGTTGGGTCCACTTGTCCTCCTTCACAATTGCCTGCCTCCACAGTCATTGCCTGATAATTGCTCATAAAAATACAGTGGCAGCTAAACTGCCTGATGAAAAGAATTTGCTGACTTCTTGTGGGTGCTTTTGCTGCTACACATGCTTTCCCTGTGTACCTAGTTAATGTATGTGGTTGGGGGGTTGAGGGGAGGCAAGGCTGGCAGATGACCACCCTCTGAGATTTAGCATTGAAGCCCCTCTCTCTGAGTGACATAATTAGGGACCCCAGACTTGAGTTCACTGGAGTGCCGTGTCTGAAGCTGACTAAATTCATCAATGCAGTAGGTACCCCTATGGCTGTCCATCTTACTCTTCATAAAGTTGACCCTATAGAGGAGGGTTTAGTTATGTTCTGGTTGGCCCCAGAGGGCAGAGCTAGGAGCCAGTGGTAGAAGCAGTAAAGGCTGGATGTCAGGGGAAAACACAAACTTCCTAGTGATCACAGCTGGCAGAACTTGGATCGGACTACCCCAACAGGTCTTCAAGCTAGGTGTCTGCTTCTCAGGTACGTTGTAATGAGGGCTTTTCTTTCTGTATATGAGGTGGACTAGACAGTCACTGGGTCCCTGGTAGCACTGAGACTCTAATTCTATGAAATGTGTAGTAGAAAGTACACCGGGTTTGGAGTCAGAGAGCCAAGGTTCGTGTTTCAGTTCTGTCGCCACTAAGTGACCTTTGACAAATTACTGCGTGTCTCTTGGGTTCCATTTCTCTAAAATAAGGTGGGCCCCACTTAGTGGTATTAAATGCAAATACAGAGGCCACTTCACTATATAAGTATCCCTCCGGGTACATTTTGACTTAGAAAATCTCATATTAGCCTTATCGTATTTTTTATTCATTTTGTTAAACATTTCCCTATTAATTAATTCCTAGTTGTGTCTAATATGATTTTTCTGTCTTTCTTTAGGGTCCACCCCTCACTTTTTGGCTAGAAGCAAACCCTTTAAATATACTACAGCTCACTTTCAATGCTTTCTACCTGTGTGACCCTGGGCAAGTCACTTCCCTTCCCTAGGCCTGTTTCCTTATCTGTAAAATGAGGGGATGGGAAACCTAGAAAAACCTAAGGCTCCTACGTATCTGATGCAGCGAATCTGTCTTAGTGGACTTGAAAGACTGTTAACAGCCCTGTTTCATTTTCACTCTTTGAATTTCTCTAGCAAGTTTTGACACATTCACAGGGAGTGCCATGCCATGGGGTTCAGAAAGATGTGTGGAAATCACCACATAAAGAGGCCAAATCATTTATCCTGAAGGATTAACTATTCCAAGGGTGTACTTATGTAACTCTTGGCTCAACAAGTCCAGGAAGGTTTGACATATTCAGAAGGGGGAAATGATAACTGCACTAGAAGTCTCTTTGTTGAGATCATTCTGTAACAGTTGCTCTGTCCTACTGACCTAGTCTGTGACCCAGCTCCAGGCAGCCAGAGTCCAACAGAGGCCTGCTCAGGCCTACCCACCAGTGTGTCCTTGAGACCAGTGACCCACAGTTGTTATTATTCGCCTCTGTGGGTAAAAGCCCAAGCAGCATCCTCTCAGAGACTCCTGGCAGCTTCTATGTCATTAATTCATCCCGATAAAATGGTCCTTTTATCAACTGACTCCCAAAACAAAGACTGTTTTAACAAAAAAGCTTCTTTCATGAGAGAGAAGCAGTAACAACAAACTCTAGGAGAGATTTTTTTCCCCCTTTGAGTAAAAGAGTTCAACTTCTAGCCACAGTCCATGTCTAGTTCAGGCCCATTTGAGCTTGCAGTCATCAATTTAAGAGATCACCTAGTCCAACCACTACATATTATAGCTGAGAAAACACCCGCAGAGAGTGGGTAAGTCACAAGGCAAATGAGTTATCCAAAGTCCCACAGATTTTCAGTGGCAGAACCAGGATTTGAACTCAGGTTCTCTGACTGCTCCTGGTCTCATCCTGTGCTCTCCCATCCCCAGAATGGACTCCTTCCTCCCCCATCTGGTTGAATATCGTCCCTTTCTACATGCCACAACTCAGGCATCCTCTGCTCAAGAAACCTTCCATGATATTTCCATTTATTACAGTGATCAGTTGAAAGGACTAGATGTACGATAATGGTCTGCCCAGATCAGATCTAATCTAGAATGTTGCATTAAGTCCTGGATGCACCTTTTGGAAAAACAGCATAAACCAGAGAGTAGCCGTGAAAATAGGTAGAAGAAACGGGGAGTATTTAGCCTAGAAAAGAAAAAAAAAACTGGGTTTGGAGTCATAAGACATAGGCTAGAATCCTGACATTGTGACTTAACTACATGTGAGCCCTTGGGCAAGTCATAACTTCTTAAACCTTCGTTTCCTCATCTGAATATGAAGGAGTTGGAGTAATTATCCTCTGATGTCCCTTCTAGCATTACTCCGTGCTCCTATGTCATGACATGTCTTTAGATATTTGAAGGGCTGCCATGTGGAAGAGGGATTAGGCTTGTTCCACTTGATCCTAAAGGGTAGAGTGAGGGACAGTGGATGAAAGGTGCAAAGAGGCAGATTTAGGCTCAGTGGAAGGGAAAATTCAGTAGAGGTCTATGAGCAAAGACAATATAGTCCTGTGGTCTTCATGCATGCTGGACAGCTCTAGGAAAAAGTTGTGTCCTCCCTTTCAACTTCCTTCCTTCCTAAAGATACACTGTTGGGTATTAATGATAATAAGACAGACGTTTATGTGACTCATTAAGGTTTGCAAAATGCAAACCTTATTATCTAACTTTATTATCTAATGGACACCAGTAGTGCTGGACTTGGCGTATTTATTAAGCACCTACTATGAGCTAGGTGGTGTAGAGGATAGAGTGCTGGACTTGGAGTAATTATTAAGCAGTGGATATTAGTGGATATGGATATTATTAATTATTAAGATAGTGGATAGACTTGGAATCAGCAAAACCGAAGTTCAACTCCAGCTTTAGACAATAGCTGTGTGGCTCTGGGAAGCTTAAACTTTCAGCCTCAGTTTCTTCCATGAAAAGAGAATTAAAAAAGCACATCAATAAGTTGTTGGTGAGGTCAAATAAGATGACGTGTAAAGGTTTTGTGAGCCTTCGAGCCACGTTGTTTTTCATTAGGTTCTGGGACATGAGAACAAAGAATAACAGAAACCCTCCTCCCAAGAAGTTGACAGTCTAATGGGGAAACAAGTCTGCATAAAAATATATGCAACAAAATATATGACATTAATAAATACAAATAAATGCAAGATTATTTGAGAGAGCAGCCCCAGCACAATTAGGAAAGACTTCATGCAGAAATCAGTGCCCAAGCTGCCAATTCTTAAGGAAAGGAGGGACTCTGAGGTGTGGTGTATTCCAGGCATGGGAAATGGTGAGTACAGAGGTGGGAAATGAAGTATGATCAGAGGACAGAGAGAGGGCTTGTTTGCCCAAATCACAGAGAGTGGAGATGGCTGGTGCATGTAGGGGAGTAATGTCCAGTCAAGCTGGAAAGTTAGGTCGGAGCAAGATTGAGGAGGGTTTTAAAAGCTAAACAGGGGGTTTTATATTTTATCTAAGAGAAACTAGAAAGCCACTAGAGTTGATGGTTTAGGAGAGTCATGTGATCAGATCTGTGTGTTAAGGAAAATTAATTATTTTTGGTAACAGTGTAGAGAATGGGCTGGAACAGGGAGAGACTTGAGGCAGGGAAACCAGCTAAGAGGCTTTTGGAATAATCGAGGTGAGAGGAGGTGAGAGCCTGAATGAAGGTAGTAGCAGTGTGAGTGGCGGAAAGAGGTTGGATGGTAGACATGGTTCTTGTAGAAAGAACAAGATGTAGGGGCAGCTAGGTGGCGCAGTGGATAGAGTACCAGCCCTGGATTCAGGAGGACCTGAGTTCAAATCTGTCTCTAGATACTAGCTGTGTGACCCTGGGCAAGTCACTTAGCCCTGACTGCCTAGGGGGAAGATGAATTCGGTTTCAGATGTTTTGATTTTGAAATGTCTCCAGGACATCCAGTTTGAAATGTGCAATAGATAATTGGTGATGCAGGACTGACCCTCAGGAGAGGTTATGCTGGAGAGGATAGAGTTAGAACTAGAGATATCTGTGAGTCATGAGAGTTAAATCCTTGGGGGTTGTTGGGTTTAGCAAAAGAAAAATTGTGGAGAGAGATGAGGGCCTAGGATAGAACCTTGGGGAATGCCTGCATTTAGTGGGTACAGTGTGGATGGTGTACCAGCAAATGAGCCTGAGAAAGAGAGGTCAGACAGGTAGGAGGTGAACCACAGGAGAGAGAAATGTGACAAAAACCCAGAGAAGAAAAGTACCAACAAATTACATTATAGAGCTAGAAGAAACAATAACAAATTCATCTCAAAGAACAAAAGGTCAAAAATATCAAGGGAATTAATGGGGAAAAATTTCAAAGGAAGATGGGCTAGCTGTACCACATCTAGAACTATGTTATAAAGTGGCAATCATCAAAACTACCTGGTACTGCTAGATAGAGTGGTGGATCAGTGAAATAGGTTAGGTACACAAGACACAGTAGTCAATGACTATAGTAA